TTAATGTTCATTCGTTTCAATACATATTGCCAGCCACCATGATGTCGCTGATTGTACCTTTTTGTATCCCGTATAGCGAAAGGTTGTAAACTTTTCATAAACGCGCCTGAACAGATTGTGAGCACAATATACATAATGATGTGCTAAAACAAACGACAAAACAGATAACTTGAAGGAATATCTAGATCGGAGGAACGGGTAGCCCAGATATTCAAGCAGGCCGCTAATTCAAATCTCGCGATATTCGGTAGTGTTTAATTTCCCTATCTAATACTTTAGAATACATAACCGATTAATATTAATCCATTTAATATACACTGTTTTATATACTAGGCTTCCAGCTAAGTTTACTTTGGTATGAGTAATAATAATATTATCTAGGTGCACAAATCAATGGTATTAGATTAAGGTATCAACTTTCAACTTACTGATTAAAAATTAAATAGTATAATTTCTAAGTCACCAGTCAACCGATTAGTATGGTTATAATTTTATTAATCTAAATTACTACTACTTCTACCTTCAATAATAAGTAACTTTAGTGAGACTATAATTTATGGACGACCATTGAGCGAGGCCAGACTGACCTAAAGAGTGTCCACCTAATATCTAGGACTAAATGAAGGTTATAAACCTGTGTGAAGAATATGAATTATGATTTAAAGTTTATGCTTAAGGTTAGAAATTAGATTCAGGGTTTTCATTACGAACTGACATCAGCTATAATACTAAGACTCTATTTAATCAAATGGACGAGTGAATTTCGCTTCCAAATCCTAGACCTGTTATCTTATTCCTGATTGGTTTGTCTATAAATTACAGTCTCGCCTTAACTTTAATTAAATTCTGTTTTCTTTTGATCTCATACTTTGTTTATCAAATCATTTATCAAGATTACTTTCAGTGATCTCCTAAAATAATCTTAAAATATATTCATTCCAATGATTTAGATCATGAGTCAGTTGAAGCTAGACCACCATGGAAAACATGGAACCACTGGACGACCGTTTAATCCTATTGTTGGGTTCATCAACAGTGCGCATCTATCTCGCGAGATTCAAACTCAGGACCTATCAGTCCCGCGCACGAGCGCTTAATTACTAAACATCTAACTTTAACCAATCCACTAAATATTCATTCACTAATTTAATTGTTAGTAGGCTTTTTCACTAATGAAGTTTCTATAACAAGAGCACGAATATAAACCAAATTTGCCACATATACCCCACTACAACTTCAATGGAACTAATTATTCCGAGAGCGGGATCATGGATGTGCACTGCTGAGGACTCCCACAATAAGACGAAATGGCTTTCCAGTGCTTCCGGGTTTTCAATAGTGGTTTAATATCAATCTGTTCATAACCTTAATCAAAAACTTAATAATCTCCACAACCCTATACTGAGAACTAATTATTATTCTATTAGAGTGTAATGATAAGTTTTCCAAATTAAATAAACAACAAAATGATCTTTTATGGTCATAATTAAATATATTTCCAATTTTCGATAAAAAGGCAATAAGTATTTTACAATCTCAATCACTTAACCGATGAGATTTGATAATTTTAAACTAATTAATTCTTTATAAGCAAAGATAGATGATGTTTAGAAGTGGAATGCAAGACACACATTTCGTTCAATTTAGGTCTCATGGTTGGTGTTCACTCCGGAACTCGAACGTAGTGAAGCTCACTTCAAACGCCATTACATCCTGAAATGAACATCAACTTTTGGATGTAGATACATCCGACTTACTAAATTGGACGAAACACGAGTCCTAGATTCGGCTGCTAATCACTCTCTATTCTTGCTTATAATATTTGTAACTCAAGGCAATATTGAGACAATCCTCATAGGATGCACATATGTCAATAGGAGACTGATCAACTGCAGTCCTAAATATCAATAGGAGAATTCAACTAAACAATACAAAAATGTGTTTTGTGGAGATTTTTAGAAATTTCACTGCTTGAAAACATGAGTCACTTGAAGCTAGCCCACCATGGAAAACCTGGAAGCATTGGACAGCCGTTTTATCTTGGATGCGCATTGCTGAGGAGTCCAACAATAGGACGAAACGGTCGTCCAGTGCTACTATGTTTTCCATGTTGGTCTAGCTTCAATTGACTCATGATTTCAATCAGTGAAATTTCTAAAAATCTCCATGAAACCCATTCTGATAATAACAATCACCTGCTCACTAATGACTGACTTCAGGAAATACTCCTGGAGGTCTAGTGAGAAGTCGTTACCAGTGGAGTTCGACCAGGTCTGTTGTGAGATAGGAACTCACTGAAGACAATGATGTACGGTGGCGCAACTTAGTGGGTTGGTTGAAGTTAGACATTAACACCATTGGATTCCGGCTCAGTGGTTTAGTTAGTTAAGCGCCTGACGCGAGAGTGATAGGTGCTGTGCTCGAATCCCGCGGGGGGCGTGATCGCGGTTGCAAACCGCTGAGGAGTCCCATACTAGGACGAAACAGCCATCCAATGCTTCCAGGTTTTCCATGGTAGTCTAGCTTCAATTGACTCATGATTTCAACTAGTGAAATACAAAAATAAATTAATTATTTCATTTTTTAAAGATTCAAGAGTATTTGATAAGGGAATATTATAGGGATTAGATTTGGTTATTAGTGAGCTACTAACCATCTTTAAATAAAGGAAATCAATAATGTAACTAAGTGTAAAACAAGTTTTACATATTAAATCAATCTAATAAAGGTTTCCGTAGGTTAATCTGCCTGTATAACACAAGCATAATAACGTATATATTTACATTGAATGACAAAGATTAATTGTATTCTCACATCTTAAAAAAGGACCGAAAGAGATTTCCCAGAATTGTTATGTAACTCGTGGTCAGAGATAGTATTTCAGAATAAGAAGTGTTAATAGTTGACATTTCTATCACAAACTGATATCAGTTATAATTTGAGAACTATGTATAACCATATAGATCAACTTGGCAGAAAAAAATCCAAGAGCCATTGTCCAATCAGTTCGTCCAAAACATATAGTCTCATCAGATATAAGGGTTTAGAGATAGAATTTATGGATAGTGTCGGCTCATCTGTTCTTTACGTCAAAAAATGGTACTCGAATTTCTCGAAAAAATATCCTGCTTACGCCTGTTACTCCGAATGGAGAATACGCCGCCGACCAGCATTCTCCAGCCCACTCTGTACTGGGTCTTCTTTTCTAGTTCCGTTCAATTCTTGTTCATTCTTTTCATATCTGCCTCCATTTCTCGACGTAATGTGTTCTTTGGTTTTCCTTTTTTCCTTTGACCATGAGAATTCCAAGTGACAGCTTGCCTTGTGATACAGTTCGGTGCCTTCTTCAATGTATGTGCTATCCACTTCCAGCGCTTTTTCCTGGTTTCGTCATTCGCTGCGATCTGGTTTGTTCTCTCCTACAGTAGGTTATTGCTGATAGTGTCTGTTCAACGGATCCCAAATATTTCGCTTAGACAACTGTTAATAAACACTTGTATCTTCTGGATGATGGCTTTCGTAGTTCTTCAAATTTCCGACCCGCCTGAAGCCCCTCTTAGGCTACTGCCGGTCCCAAGCCCGGATAAAGGAGGAGGGTTGAGCGTGGGGTTAACGACCCCATCCTGTAGAAAACTAACTAACCAAAAAAAAACGCTAATCAGAAAAAAATGCAAAAAATCTAAAAATAACTTTATCGATTTTGATTGACTAGTGCCTAGACTAAATATACCGTTACCAAGTTTTTGTTTAACAGTAATCATACAGTCATTAAACTAACTTACATTATCGTGTTATATTATCAAACACGCATAAGGTATTCATGTTTTTTATTATTTTCTAACTTATTAATGCGAATGTAGGTTATAAAGTTTTACTGCACAGATTAAGTAATAAAATATATTTCTGGAAATGAGTATAGTATGTGTTATAACTTGTGGGTTCGTGCCCCTATAAATGTATGACGTAATGATACCGTCAATTAAAGAACAGTGATTTACCGACTGAACCAACGACGCACAAAACCCGTACGAGTAGTCTAGACTTCCCGCCTAGCCCTACCTGTTAAGTCTAGAACAACAATCTCAGCCTCCACGATATCAATCATGTATTTCAAACATACTGGGTTTATATACAAAACCAAACAGACCACATTGTACTATAAAATAAGAAACAACATTTGTACAAGATGTAGCCAAATGTAGCTGTGAATGAAGGAGATAGTAATTGATAGACAGGGCATAACTCAAGAACGGTCAAAATAAATCTCATAATAAGAGGAACATGAATATGAATAGTTTGGTTGCATAACAATCATACGATAAAAATATACGTATAGTGTTAGTCCAGAGAAAGATCCCAGCAGTTACCATTCATTATTCTCATCGGGATATAACATTATGCACAGAATTTTGTTTATATGATCAGGTTGATATGACTTGGTATTTAATAATGATGAAATAGGCTTACACCTAAAAAGACATGAGTTTTAGAATACTTCAAATTGAGTACTTAAGATAAAGCTATTAATAATGTGTGAAATAAAATGTTTACAAGACGACTCATAAACATCTATGACTCATTAGGTTTGTTGTAGAAAACTGTTATAATTGCTCAATTGTAGTAACCAGTTTGAAGTATGGCCAAGATACGGCCACATTCTAAAATTTACTGAATTTCACAACACTAACTATTTATATGACGTTTTCATATAGGACGTTTTTCATCAGACACCACCCAAAAGCTATCGAGCATTCAAATCAAAGTATTTTCCCGATATGAAGTCTGAATGGTTAACCTTACAGGAAGACTAAACATTTAGTATAATATTATGTCAATATAATTTACTTACAACATTAATGTTTTCATTCTCAAGCGAGGAAAAGAAAGGAAACGAGACCAGAGAACAAGAAAGCAAAGTAATAGCGTGATAAGTCTCAAGTATCTCACTTCATTATATGATTTTTCTATTTTCTTAGTGTATCCATTTTTAGTAGGTATGTTGTTGACAATAATTCGTCGTTCCTTATACTTAGTTAAATGATGTATTGTCTGATATATCTAAGATTAAGTACATTTTCATTCAAGGATATTGTAAGTAATAATATATGAAACAACATTTTACTATTTACTGGTGTAGTGAACGAGAACACTAAATGGGGACAATTGAATATAATTTAACATGAAATTACAGAATCTTAATAAAACTAGAGAACCTTACATTAAATACTTTATTTGTAAAATACTAATCAATCGTCTCAGACTTCATTACTCGTTTGTTTTCACATCAATCACTGTCTGTTCTCGTTCTCTTCTCTTCAATCTTCTTAACCTTCTACCACCAGGTATTTCACTTTCGTTTGACGATACATGCTACTTATATTTATGGGCATCAGTAGTAGCACACACCACACCTGTACAAACTGAAGTCTATTTCATAATAAATTATGAATTTGAGAATAAAAATGCTATTTTAATTTGAAAAGAAAAAGTTATATGGAATTCATTCACCAACTACATGTTTTTTCTACTAGGCTTTGAGCCATGATTTTTCAATGGTACCTAATTATATTTTAAGTTAAATCTATGAATGAAAGTTTACATTAAGGTATACCATATATTACATAACTATTAAATGTCTTTCTTTTAGATGGATTGAATGATACATTTCTTATAATTATGTCTTTCATTAATTAGATTTAGGATGAAGAGATTTCAAGGATTCAAATTACTTACTTTTTAAATTAATGTACTTGAAAGTTTCATGACAATTTCACCAGACTCTCTTATAATAAACACATACTGTTGATCAAGCTTTGAAAAAAACAAAACAAATATTTTATGGGGGGGAGTTTGTTGTGATGGGTGGTGTCCGAAATCAGATACTGATACACAACATACTACTATACTGACCCCCTACCTGACTACTTGAATGAGAACACAAAAGTGAGAGAGAGAAAGTATATTGGATTATTAAATAAAATGCACAAATACTCATTTATATATACACAACTCTACTACTTAAAAAATCAATTCAGTTTTTAAGCCAATTAAGTGCACTTGTCCTTCAGGTCATTTCTGATTGTCAACGATTGACTATTTCAATCGTCTACTACTAGATTGACTTTCCATATCTGATTTTACTTATCATTTAAAATCATTCGATGTAATGTTTGAATACATTGCGACTTTTTAAAGCTAACTCTTTAATTCTGTATTTAATTGTCGACTAATTTTCAATTTGTAGATGGCACAAATATAACGATGGTTGTGTATATTTATATATCTGTCGGAGTTTCACTCAAAGAAACAGTAATTTGTATATTAAATCGAATGAAACGAAGCATCATTTGTGATAAGTAGTGATAACTTTTGAACCAATAGTAACAACTGATGAATTGCAGCTGCTGTTCACAAACTCAAGTATGTTTTAGTCTTGACAACTATTGTGAATTAATACTTCACTAACCTAACATGAAACATCTAACAAACTGAGTTAACAGTTTTATATTAAGTATTGTTAATAAATAGTAAAAATAATGATTTGATTAAATTTTAGCGGACTATTCGATATGGAAATAGAATAGATCTAAGTACTCTTAATCTATGTGCTACATATTTTATTTCATTCCTTTAATTGTCTTATTATAAAGTTCTGTTTCAAGATCCTTTTTGTCACGAACTGAAATTGAGTGAAGAACAATAAGAAAGTACTACATTTAGGTGTCTTCAACAATCCTTGGTTATTACCTTAAATCGGATTAGAATTGTGACACTCATATTTTTATGGTGATTTCATCATGATTAATATTATAAGTAGAAGTTCATGAATTCAAAATTCTAGCCATACTCAATTCGTAATATAATTCAACTTTTAGACAATCCCACCGGTTAGAAGCATCTCATCGTAGTGAACTGGATCGATCATGATTACTAACTATAACTTCAAGAATTCATTATGAAGCTAATCAATTGTAAATACTCTATTAGGTTTTATATGATTACTTCATGGGCAATTTATTTAGCTCATAGTGATTAAAAATCAAAGAAAAGAATTATAACCCCAAACAATCTATAGCTTAATGACTTATAAGGAACAGAATTACATGACAATGTATCAATATAGAGAAATGTAATTGTTTTTTAGGCTTCCTTCATATATGAGCGTTTTTTAAAATTTATCTTTGATTCCACCTATTGTAATTCATTTGCTGATGATATAAGGTCTGAGATTTGAGACTGTTTTACATTAAGTGAAGCAAGTTATATAGTTTCTACTCTCTCTCTCTCTCTCTGATGCCATTATAGCACCAGAACACGAAAGACACTAAATTTACTCCACGTGTCCTCAACTTTGCAAAAGACAGTTAGCCCAATTGAATTTATACAGTGTCAGTTGGGTGTTAACAGTGGCAAATTAACTGATCACTTCAGAATGAAAGAAGAATACATAAAGAAATCTGAGCCCTTTAAAACTTTTATGACATCGTCATGTCTATTGTGTACACATGTAGTAGTTACTTTGTCGTTCCATACGTGTTCATTTCAAGATTTTACGTTAATAATTTGGTTATAGTAAGGAGTCGTCTATTGTCCACAGTTCAGATCTTTTACGATTGATTGATCACTGGGTGATGATCAATCTCATGCATGTCAGTTCCCAGTGATCAACCAATTGTAAATAATTCTAAGCCCTATAGGAGGTGAGTCGCGGCCTAGACAGTTCACTGGTAATATCTTTAAATGTGGAGCTGGGTGACACGGGGTCGAGTCCGTCAGGGAGCATTAACCCCCTTAAGATTACAGATACACCTTGCTGACGAGTGCCAAATAGCACGAAACCTAGGTCCAGGGTTTCCTGTTGACTACTTCCAACCACCATCTTATCACAGTTCAGATCAAACAATATTTCATATACTCATAATAAAAACATATTTTTCCATTTAACTGTGTTTTTGTATGACCAACTGAAATATCATGATTTATAATATTTAATAATGCTTACAGGTATGAGATTTCATTCGATGTTAAAGTACTTTATGCTATCTGGAATTATCTTCACATACTTTTTATACCAATAAAATTTATAAGTTATCCGTTCCATCGATCAAAAACGGTATTTGCTGTATTGTATAGTCAGGTGTTACTGTTCCGTCTAAAAGTTTAGCACAAACTATTTTCTAGTTATCAGTATGGGGTTGCGGAGGTTATCAAGTTTTTGATTGAGATCATAAACAGATTGATGTTAGACCACCATTGAAAATCTGGAAGCACTGGACGGCCGTTTCGTCCTATTGTGAGAGTCCTCAGCAGTGCACATTCATGATCCCGTTCGCGGTATTCGAAACCCAGGGCTTTCGGTATGGCGCGCGAACGCTTAACCTAGCTAGCGTTTTCCTACCTATGTTCTTTTTTACGGGACAGGGTTTGTAACCCTATGCCCAACCCCTCTATTCTACCTGAGCTTAGGACAGACAGTAACCCTAAAAGGGCTTCAAACACAGTTAGCACACACTATTACCAATATTAATCCTTCAATCAAATTAATTATAAGACAATTTATTCAAAATGTTGCGTAGTCAAATTTTTTAATCCGCACCATTATCGTCTTGAACTATTTGTAAACAAGCTCACAGTTTATATGTAAAGCAATGAATACATCAAGTCTGAAACATTAAATATTCAGTAGGGCATCAAGAAAATAATACAATAACCACTTATTCGTAATCCGATTGAATAACATCTTCAAACCCTAATCTTTCCGGTTACTGCTTATACTCTTACTACCTCTACCACTGTGGGATTCGAATCGACAATTGTATTTGTGTGCTAATGTGGTATGGCAACTCGGACTAATGTACGTACGTACGAAGCTCTATGCTGATACTGACTGAGTGACTATACGTAATCCGACAAGCATTTTGATTCTTCTTCATGTACATAATAGTAAAATACTGGAGTGTTTTAGTGCATTTTTAAAACTTACTAACTATTTTATGTGTCTAGGGTGCTTGAAATAATTAAAGCAGGTAAATTTAACGTATTGGAACAAACTTTTTGCATATTTGCATTTTTTTAGGTTGAAAATATTGGTCCTGCTGTGTCTGTACTCGAAGAAAACGTTGAAGATGGCGATATATTACAAGAAATTGGAAATGCTCAATACACACTGGAGTTTCTTCGTCAAGTTATTCAACAATCAACTAGGTATGAGTGTAAGAAAGAAAAGATTTTTTTCATTTACTTGACAATAATTACTGTTTTCTAGTCTAGAGGGTTGTGAAGATTGTTGAATTCTATAATTCGCACCACAATCTGAATAAGTTAGGAAAATTTTGATGACTGGGAAATACTGGACAACTAGCTTACCTAAAAAGGTACTCCACAGAAGTGCTCATTCACTAACCCACAAGGAATCAAGTTCTAGATCTCCTGTCCTTTCTGTGAGCGTATCTTTTTTAGATCACTGTACTGGGATTAAATACTTTACACTTGTACCTACTATCAATCCATGATATTCCACAACTTTCATCCATTGCCACTGGGGATATTTATCACATCTTCGAGTTGACTGAACTCCACTTGTCACTGTTTTTAACTAAGAGAAGTTTTGTATTACTATGGAATACTTGTCTTTTGATCCCTAATTTTTACTGGTTATCTAACGAAAGTCAATTTGTTATTTAAACCTACAATACTCATTTTGTCAATGAATAGGCCTGTATTTTTGTTTCTGTGAATTATGCTTAGGGTTTAGATGTTTTATTTAAGCTTAAAATCACATTACATTATGCATGATAATATCAAACGGAATAGAAACGTAAATACTCGTGTTTTAAGGTGAGCACAATATTAGTTAGCGATTTCCATTTATTGTGGTTGATAAATTAACTGCCTTTTCACTTTGAGTGTGGTTCATTCTATGCTGAACATCTGTTTATCTAAAATGATATGGTGATTCGATCAGAAGTAGACGATTGAAATAGTCAATCGTTGACAATCAGAAATGACCTGAAGGACAAGTGCACTTAATTGGCTTAAAAACTGAATTGATTTTTTAAGTAGTAGAGTTGTGTATATATAAATGAGTATTTGTGCATTTTATTTAATAATCCAATATACTTTCTCTCTCACTCTTGTGTTCTCATCCAAGTAGTGAGGTAGGAGGTTAGTGTGGTAGCACGTTGTCTATCAGCATCAGATTTCGGACTGAACTGTTATGAAATTAACTTTATTATATTAAAATGGTGTAAACAAACCATTTTCGAATAGAAATTTCAAAATAATCCCGTTAAATGATGATCATTTTTGTTTAGATAGTAAGTAATGAGTACGGCTGAACTAGGTAAGTTTCATTTCATGTAAAACATGAGTTTGGATCCTATAAACTTTGTGTTCTTAATTTTTCAAAAATAAAATGTTTAGATCAAAAACTCTTTCCTGCCAATATCTATTATGATTGCGTTTCATGAGTGATATGTACATAGCTGAGACATCTAGCTACGGTGAAGACAGTGTGTTTTATGCACTTATTTATGGAATCAGTAGGATGACCCTGTCTTAGATTGCATACAGTACGCCACATTCACCTATAATTCAAATTTACCTTTGAATCCTGTTATTCTAGACTTTTACTTTTGGGTCGCTGCGTAAGTAGGGATTTTTAACAGTACTGTCACCAATAATTTAGGTATCCGTTTTCTATGGAATCAGCAAATATTGAAAAAAACTTTCTTTTCTTTGTGCATTTTCAACACAATACGATGTTGTTACGTTTAGGAGCATCACGGATGCTAGCGAATAATTCTCTTTTTTCTCTCATTCATAGGGGTAAAGTATTTGTTAAACATATATTGTCTACTTTAGATCTACACAAAATAATTTACTGAAGTTCCCCTTGTATGCTTTCTCACAGTTTGCTAATCTACACTGAAAGCATTCAATATCAATAGGACAACCTTTCTTAAGCATATAAACTTCAAGCGAATACGCAATGAAACAGTGAGGACACAGAAAATCTTTTTATGAGCGTATGTATGGAACCAATAATATAATCTTGTCTTTAAACTCCTGATGAATAAAATTATCAATCGATTTCGTGGATTAGTTGAAGTTAGACATTAACATCGTCGGATGCCGGTTCAGTAGTCTAATTGTTAAGGACTCGCTCCCGAGACTGTTAGGTCCTGGGTTCGGATCTCATGAAGCGTGATCGTGGATGAGCACTGCTGAAGATTCCCACAAAACGGCCGTCCAGTGTTTCCAGGTTTTCCATGGTGATCTAGCTTCAATTGACTCATGATCTCACCTATTAAAATTACTATAATATCCAAGAAATCCCTTCTGATATTGATATGATAAGTTACAAAAATATAAAGAGATTTGTTTTTCCTTCAAAATCATTTCTATTAAATATCTGTCAAAACTTTCTTTACGTGACGATATATTTTCATATTTCTGAATTTCAAATAGGGAGATTTGGAAGTATATTAAAGTTAATTCTTCCACGAATAGTTCTTGAAACGATCGTCGTTAACTTAGATTTTAATAAGAATCTATTTATTATGACTTAGTGAGTTATGAATATCAATTGTTGTACATAACCATCTGTTGAATCTCATAATTATGTTTTGTTTTTTAAGCTTAGTACATTTCTATGTACATATAACATAAAACAACTAACTAATTACAAACTAATCGCTGTTTCATACCATTTATGATTAATCTCATACTAGACGGTTCCTACGGATAAATATATAAATACTGTAGTGAACAAGAACACAAGTGGGGACAATCGAATGTATTTGAGCACAAAATTACAGAATGTTTTCTTGAAACCTGAGAACAATACAGTAAATACTTCATTTGCAAAAACTCAATCCATTGTCTTGAACTTGACTGTTTTTTTTGCAAGTGTTAGTACATCGTCTCAGATTTTATTGTTCCTGCATTTTCATACCAATTACTTTTCGTTCCCATTCTTTCTTTCTCCATCTTCTACTGAAGTACATTCTGTTCCTGACTATCATTATATAATACTTATGTGGACATTTTTACATTGGGATAAGGAGGCACCGAATAGATATGCACCACATAAATCATCCGATTTATGTGAGGGTTGAGATAATGCCCGGGTGCCCAAACCGAAGCAGGTGTTGTCATTGATGCAATACACTGTTTATTGCTACCATGTCAATTAACTGGTTTTGAAAAGATTTTTGTATTGTTTTCCAATGAGTACGTTTAGAATCGTTTAACCTTGATATTGAACTTATTATAAATTACCTGATGATAGTTTAATTAAACGACAATTTCATGATAAACTAATATCATTCTCAAAACAACTGTTGCAAACCATACGGTAAAGGCTAGGTGTTTCGTCTGCCACCTCCCCATGATTTCAAACGGTACAAAACTTGTAATAAAGACAACGCTTTTTATCTTAAGTGCCAGAAGTTAAAAATCTGTACGATTTGATATAAATATCATGATTTAAAAGTAATTTTATTTCCCATGGAAACCATTTCATTTCTGTATAGAGTCTTAGGTGCATACTACCAAAATATCATGAAATAACTATTCAATCCTCATTGGTTTTTAATGAAAAGAACGAAAAACATGTTTTATAGCTCAAACTTTACTTAAAATTTGTTACTTCAAAAATTAATCAGAGATTTGACAAAGAATTATTGACTAATTATTGAGTTCTTAATCATGATTTATGTTTAGGAAGTGAATGAACACTTGAACTCTAGTGTTTTGACATAAACTTAGTTGCTTGATGCCAACTCTTAACCAATCAACCTAAGCTGTTACATTAGCTTCCCTCTAGAATTGACTTCCGTAGGAACGTCGGTTTAATTAACCTATCTATTAAGAACACCTACGTTCTGTTTCCACAATAAGGGAGAAGTACCAACTCGCTCAGTGTTTGACTTCCGATCAATGACGACTAACTCCGTCAGTAATCGACGATAGTCCATGGATGTCTCTTCATTTACTAGCTTGTTATCTAACTTTAAGGCATTTAATTTCTTCCACAACTATAGTTGACGGTTTGCTACCTGCCCTCTGTGTGGTGATCAGAGCTTGAAAGAGAAAAAATGGCGAGGAAATGAAACAACAATATCTGAGGATTTGAAAAAGAAATTATCCCCAGACATCTGTTCGCTCAGACATTCTACTATTTTTAAATATTCTATGAGACGTTTTTTACATTCTCATTATCTTAATCCTTCTGTTGTTGTATTTAAGAAACTAAGATCACTGCTATCAAACTACATTACAGACTATTATTATGACAATGTAAATGATTTCTCTGGAAAGTGATCTGTCTACATTTATTTTTGTATTGGTTGTTTGAATCTTTCCATTGATGTTTATAACTGCCATTGATCAGTTTCTCTAGCAACCATTTCAGAAATGAATTAATACTTCTCTCACCTGAACAAGCTGGTAACTATCTGAGTTCTGTAGCTAATTGAATAACTTAATGGTGTTTGAGGCGAACAGTTCTTAGTTCAAATCCCAGAGTGGACATCATACATGAGATGCAGGTACATCCAACTGATGAGTCCCAAATGGGATGTGTTCTGAATTCCACAACTTATCATCATCTATCTCTGATTATGTTATAATTCTCTCTTATTACAACCCAGCTATTTCTATTGCTTAGTATTCTCGACAAGTCCCCAAATCAGAACACGGTTAAACAAAAAAGAGATTATATTCAAACTGACAAGGTTAAATGTAAGTAAGAAGCACAATAAGAGATACGTTAGTATATTTATAGTTTTTACATGAGAAGATTCTAGAGTGTCGACTAGCGCTGATTGGCTAATTCCTCTCCAATCAGCTTTCACCAAGGCAATCGTACATTGAGCATGTTTTAATCCAATCTATTTCTCGCTAACAGCTTATAACGATCTGTTTTTTTTGTTGTTGTTGAACTGGTTCCTTGATCAATCAAAGCACTCATGTAAATAATAATTAAACAAGTTATTCAGTAAGATTGTATACTTAGCATGTTGAACAATTACATTTTTTTTATAGTACTTAATGGCAATTGTTACTAATTAATGAAATTGAAATACCTTCTTAGTCAATGATTAATTAAATATTTATTCAATAAAACAAATAAAACATTGATCACATTTTGAATGAATTAAATTACTGATTATTATTATTAGTAGTAGTATTATTATTAG